TCCTAGGACATACTAGAGGAAACTTACCTAAACTAGCTCTAAATTAAAGTTTAGCTATGTGATGCCTAAATTAAGTTATGACAAGTCTATTTTTTTTATTTCACCTTACAGTGTCTCCTCAACTTTCTGTGAACAAAGCATTGATCCTGGTTGTTGTTACTCCAAATGAATGGAAAAAATGCTAATAAATATTTTTCCGTCCTTTTTTTAAAGGAGTAACTGAGTAACAATCACTATCCAACATGGTAAAAAACCATTTTAAAACCAGTAGAATTCCCTAATGTCATAGTACATACTAGAGGAAACTAAATTAAAGTTTAGGTATGTGATGCTTAATTAAATGATTAAATATGGTTCATTACAATATTTTCATGTACTTTTTTTGAAGGGATAAACAGACAAAAGGAGTAACTGAGTAACTATCACGATCCCAAAAAGTAAAAATATCCGTAAAAATGTCATTTTATGACACTTTTATGATGCTTTTATGATTCTTTTTTTTTTTCTCCCTTGGATTATTGTCATAGTGATGAGAATGTAATATTGTGTCTACTCTGTAAGTCGCTTTGGATAAAAGCGTCTGCCAAATGCAGAAACACAAACATAAACATGTATAGCGGATAAACTCTGGGATAAACTTTATGGGCCCTGATGGGTGTGTTTGGGTGGATTTTTTGCACTCACAGGCGGTCATGGCCTCGGAGCAGCCGGTGTTGTCGTCCAGGCTGAAGAGCGGCGGCACGCAGGCGGCCGAACCCAGACCCTGAGCCATGTAGGAGGCCCCGGGGTAGTAGGAGTGCATCCGGTACTGGGAGGACACGTTATGGGTCGAGAGTCGGGCATCAGCGTGAGGCATCTGGGGCAAAAACAGAGGAAAAAACACTCAGAAACAGCAGAAAATACTCTAAGACAGAAGAAAATACTCTAAAATAGCAGAAAATACTCTAAAACTCTAGAAAATACACTCAAAAACAGCAGAAAATAGAGGAATTTCATGTCATAAATTGGTCTCTTCTTCAAAAAAGAGTGGATAGATAGATAGATAGATAGATAGATAGATAGATAGATAGATAGAT